GGTAGGGATACGGCCCAAAATACTGTGGCTGAGACATCAGGGCAGTTCCCCAGCACAGACGACAAGGGCCAGCCCTTTGAAAGTGACCGGGCATTAGGAAAGGCACTGTTCCTATGAGGAGATCCTAATGCCTCCGTGTCAGAGACGTCCAGGCTGGGGGCTGAGCCCAGAGGAGCAGTTCCCCTTCCGAAATTCACCTTTACTTTGATACGGCCCAAAATACTGTGGCTGAGACATCAGGGCAGTTCCCCAGCACAGACGACAAGGGCCAGCCCTTTGAAAGTGACCGGGCATTAGGAAAGGCACTGTTCCTATGAGGAGATCCTAATGCCTCCGTGTCAGAGACGTCCAGGCTGGGGGCTGAGCCCAGAGGAGCAGTTCCCCTTCCGAAATTCACCTTTACTTTCTCTCTCGCTCTGCCCCCCTCCTCACCCCCCATTCTCCTCGCCAGTCACCAAGATGAGGTCAGACTGTGGGGGCTGACACCGTGTGATTTAGATCAGCCACTAACTGTGAGAAAAACGTCTCAGTGCACAGGAAAGCAAGCACCCCGAAGTCAGAGCCTCGGGTGCTGAAAACCCTACCCAAACAGTTCCGCCAAGGCACCTCAGTCCCGACCAACAGCCTCCCAGCTGCTCCAGTAACAGACGCTCAGTCCTGCCCCACAGCCTGCTCTGCTAATCAAGGCCTACACTCCCCCCATGCATGCACCTCAAACCTGTGTCTTCCACTACTGCCACCTTGGGCACCCTAATCCCCACCTAGACTCTCACACACACCTCCGTCAGGCTACACCTGTTCCATGAATAAAGACAGAACTTCCACCTCCAGAGACATCCACATAGCACTGGCAGCAAACCCAAGGAAATTCCCTGCTCTACCCCTGAATGGAGCCAGAGACAAAACAGAATACCAGAGGGATGTAGTCTCAATTTCAGTGGACTTGGGAGTGTGAATGCAAGGGCAGCATTTGATTCTAAGAGACATATGAGCTGCTATTATTCATCTCAACTGGGTGTTCACTCTGAAACATAATGATGGGTATCTGAATAGGCACAAAGGCACCACTGCAGTAGCAGTTGCGTGAAACCTGGATCCCTTCTAACACCAAATGCGACCTGGTCTCACTCACCGTACATCTTGCCTTCGTCCGAGAGAATGATCTTCCGCCGGCCGCAGGGGGGGTAGATCGCCAGTGCCTCCTGGAAGCTTTGCTCGATGTCTGGACTCCACACCCCCTCGGCATCATTGTCCAGACTCTTGTCCATTCCCTCCTGTCCATCTTCCCGCCCCTCCCCGGGGCTGCCGCTGGCGTTCCAGCTGTTGGACGCTATTGTGATGGCTGCTCTGGGCTCCGACCCTGAGCCCCAAACGGCAACTCGACAACCTGAGGGGACAAAGCATAGGTCAGCGATCCGCAATGGATGTCTCCTGACATCCTGCCCCGGCTGTACGCACTAGAGCACACTGCCTCCCAACAGCCACACAAGAGCAGGGGGAAATACACGCCAAACCAGGATAGCGAAGGGGGAAGCAGCGTGCATTCCCGGGGTGCTCACTAAGAATGCAGCCCCTAGAACTGGCTGCAACACCCCTACAAAAAGTATTGGCGCCAGAAGAGAGATGGGTCTGAGGTACATGACAACACAGCCCCCAGGAACCTCCAGCCTGGAGACGTGACCACATTCCTTTCTCCCCATCATCACACAGCCCTGTGGGAACCTCCCGCCCTAGGACAGAACCGCGTCCCCTGCTCCACATCACAGTCCAGCCCTCCAGGGACCTGCAGCCCCAAGAGACACAGCAGGGCTTTACCTAGCAATTACTGGCCCATTAGGCAAGAACCCACTGCCAAGTCTCTCCTGGGGTAATTGCACAGAAACACATGCCGGGGAGAGGCTCCCTGTCACGGAGGGAAACGGAGCAGGAATACGGGCTGGTACAGGGGCTCTGAAAACTTTTTTTTTTTTTGCTTGAAAGTATTTCAGGCTGTGGCGGCCCATTCCCACGATTGCTTCTGCGCTGCTGCTGGCAACTAGGGGCGTTAATGATCATTTAAAACGTTAACCCGTTAAATACTAGGGTTAACCGGTTTACTGTGGAGCAGCCATTCGCTGGGGGAACCGGTTAACCCTTTACATCCCTACTGGTCCAGAACGGGACACCTGGCTGGCATCCGCCACTCTCGTGATCCCTTTTAGGTTGGGGCTCCCCGTTTGAGAACCGCCGGGCTGCTACATAACGCTCAGTGGAGAAGTGGGTATCCCTCCACTGCCGCCCCCTGCTAGTTACCCCTACCTTGCTCTCCCCGCCCCCAGAACTGCTGCCTAGTCATGCCTGAGTGCAGGGATGCAAGACAGGCAATGCAAGGAGGCTCAGCATGTTGTCACTGCCCCCAGACAACAGCATGAAAGCCCTGCGGGGGGGCCAGCCTCTCCAGCAGAACCCCCTGGGGCCTAACCTTGGTCTCCCCAAGAGCTAACCTCCCCAGTGGCTTGAATGGGAAGAGCTGGCCTGAAGTGGGTAGACAGGAGGAGGGTTTGAAATCCCCAGCAAGGATCAGTGGAGGTCCAGATCTGGCTGCCCAATGCCTTGGATCTGAAAGGGGGCCGGGGGCCTGGGTCCCCTGGGGAAGCCCCAGTCTCCGTCTGGCTTTGGGATTCTGCTCCAGGGTGCATAGTGGGGCCCCGGCCCCTCCCCCTGAAAGGTCACTGAGTGTTGCATGTAGGGCACAAAGTGCCCACGGGGGCCCCTCGGGGAAGCTCTGCTCCCCAGACGGGTTCTGCCAGACAGGCCTCAAACCAGCGCCTGCGACTTCACCGCTCCTCTCGCTCCCCCCTTCCCTGCCCAGCTCCTAGCGCAGGCTCTGTGTGTTGCAATAACATGTTTGGCGGCAGCTGCTGCTGGTGGGGAGCTGAGAACAAGAGGTGTCTCCTTCAGCGAGAGGCTTCCCGGACGGGCTGAGACCCAGCGGCCTCCAGTGCAGACATCTCCTTTTAAAGGAACTGCAGTTCAAGTGCGCAGGGACTTTCTTTTTTTTTTTAAGTAACTTTTTTCTCTCTCTCCCCAAGCCCCGTGATGTCACCCAGTCTCTCGCGCTGC